CTCTCTCTCTCTCTCTCACACACACACATTTTATAAAATGAAATTTAATTGAATTATTATTCAATCATCAGGTACATCAATTATTTACCCCCTGCCATGTAATTTTTTACCCCTGGTTGAGAATCACTGATATAAGGGGAAAGGGTAATCTGGTACACCACTAAAATGATGTAATTGGTGAAATGCACATTACTGAAATTAAGAAAACTAGAACTTAAAAAATGTGAGTAAAAGTTATTTGTGTTTAAAAAAAGTGCAAGAAAAAATTTAAGTAAAATTAAAATTCCAGTTCTGTTGAAAAAAGCACTTTTTTTTTTTTTGTAATTTAGGTGTTGTGTAAAAACAAGAGGGATGGGAAACAACGAGCCTCTCAAGCCATTCTTCAGGTGAGAAAATGTAGACTATTCTGTCAACCTGTTCAAGAGTTGATTTGGAAGATAAACTAGTGTGTTACATGCTCTCTGAATGGCTGGAAATTGTTGTTGAAAACAAACTGGTATCCATATGCCATCCGATTGTCTAAGAGTTGTTTTGATAGATCTGGTGCCATCTTTCTAGGGATTCCCTAACAAAAACTTTGTATTTGCTGTTTGATAGTTATGAAACCAAAAGTAACTAGTGTAGAGGGCTTGGTGTATGACTGGCTAGCCCTTTCTTGACCAGAGGGATGTCACTGATATCCCATAATAATTTCCTTCTTATATTGTAAATACTTAACCAAGTGACATGAAACTTAGGATGAATTTACTAAATAGTATCTATTTTTATCAAAAAAGTTCCAATATATTGATTTGCCCGATTACGATGCGCCCCTGTTTCCTCTAAATACATCCCGAAAAATTGACCGCCCATTATATTTGCGCACGTTCAATTTTGTTAGGTATTTTACAAGAAGCTACCACCAAAAAACGTTAAAGGTTTCAAAAAATGTTGCATGTCCAATGTAATGGATTGGATGGATGATGACAATGCGGGATTCAGAAAAAGTTGAAGAAAGGTTCAAGGGAAGCAAATCCGATGGGTTTTGACAATTCTAGCGATGATGAAGACTTCTGCGAAGATAGCTTTGTGTATTACCATATATAAACTTTTAAATATATATTTTTTGGGATGGTAGTTTTGTAACTATGCTTTGGGATGGGCAGAAGAATTATAAGAAACGTTCCTTATCCTTAATAATGGTTCTGCATCTTGGATAATCTGCAGAATAAGTTTGGCTTCCCAGTTATCTCGTCAGACCTTTATTGCATCTTATTCTAGCACAAGCATCATTCATCAAATTTCAGACGACCTGTAAACTGGAGTTGGAAATGTTTAGAAGACCATAAAAAACCTCAATGTTAAGTAATTTGAAAGTGGAAATTTTCACTTACCACACTTTTTCAAGACTTGTGTAGACATTTACTGACTTAAATATTTGATAAAAATAACCTTTCTTAGAGTACTGCATTTTCTAGATTACATTTTTGGTAATAATGTTTTAGAACTAGCCGCGTACATTTCTTCAGTTTTCCAAATTTAACCCTTTGTTTGTGGTTTGTGTAAATCTGCCTACCACTCCATGCACAAAGATTCGCAAATTTTGGGGCAGGCCATTCAAAATGCCACGCCAAAATGTTTGCATCGTACGATGTCAACTACAGTTAAAGGGTTAAGGCATATTAGTTATGAGTAAAATATATAAAAAGGAAATTCCTGTTGAAACACAAATGTAATTGTCAAGAAAGAGACTTTTAATTCTGTATATTTTTGAATAAAGCTTTAAATTAAGTTTTGTTTTTGTGTGGTTTTGTTTCTTCTCATTGCAGGGCCTCCATCCACACATTGCGTGTTGGGGTTCCCTTCTCCGTCTCTATGGAATTGGTTCTTGTAAAACTTTAAAGGAAAAAAAGGTATGATGTAAAAACTTCTAACACTACATTTTTGTATTAAAAGTGATGCCTTACTTTTAATTTGTGGATAGTGAGTTATTTTTACTTTTAATTAATCGTAAGTTATCATAAAATGCAAAAATTTTACAGTGCTCCAGAATTTTTTGTTTTCGTATGATTCTTATCTTGCTCATATTTGTCTAATATTTCAAGTCAAGAAAGGATCTTTGTTGAAGTTATTATCGCTTCTGTAAAAAGTTGGTAACGAAAGATACATGCTGATGTTATTGTTGGTGTTTTATAGTTATTCAAACTAAGAGTTCAATTTAAATTGGAAACCATAACATTGATTGTAACATGTGAAATGTTAGTCTTTTCTAATGGTTTCCTTGTTCCAGCTTATACTAGGCTTTCAACTCGCATTGAACAATTATTGACTGGTTATGAGGGCAACAGATCATTAGTTGCTCAATATCACCAGTCAATAATTGTTTTATTTTAAGCATTTCCCTCTTCTGTTTTCAGTTTTTCTATAATCTGATTAATTATTACTGTCACATAGCATAATTAGTCTACATCTAAGTCTTAAAAGTTAACATTTAAATCAATCGTGTGTTTATACGCATAAAGTAATTACATGTCTAAATTTAGCACAAAATATTTCAAGAATGCTTGTGAGGTTTCCAGTGTTGTTTTTAAAGTAGGCTTAAATGAATCGGTGTTTGATTTATTTTTCTGTTACTATGCTGCAGAAAATTGCTGTTTATAAGTTTATGCTGTCTGAACAATTCTGCAACTTTCATTTGTAAGTAACTGAAATCTGATGCCATATTTTCACGTTTATTTTACAGGTTTAAGCAAGTTGTTTGTAAATAGGCTTAAGTGAATCAATATGTTTTCACTGTGCTTCAAAAAACTCTCATCTCTAAGGTTTGGCTTCACCGTCACGCAATGCATAGCAATCACCTTGACATAACTGAAGAATAATAATGCAATTTTGTTTTTCCTGGCTGTCAAGGCAACATTGAAAATGGTTTATATCACATGATGCACTCTTGACCAATCACAGAAAAACATTCATGCTAGGAAGTAGAATAGTAAACATTGTTATGTTGGCTAAGTTGTGTTCAACAAAGTTCAAACATAGTGGAAATGAAATACAAAAAAGAACCAGAGAAAACATTTAGATAAAGTTTGAAATTCGGGCTACACTTTATTGAAGTGTTTTTTGTTCACAAAGTGTTAAGTTATGCCGAGAATAATGGCTAGCATCAAGTTGGGTTGAACAGAGTTTTTATATTGTCCATTTATTAGGATAAGTTGATTAATCACAAAACTTTTTTAAAACTAAGTATTTTATTGTACAGTAGAAAAGAAACAAAAAACTTAATAGATAAGCATGCAGGGATTAAAGCAAGAATCACAAAAGTGCAATTTAACTCGTCGATTACTTAAAAGTAACAAAATCATGTTTTCTGTTGATGAGATCACAAAGGAAGTGTAATTTTATTTGTAGATTTTGTAGTTTTATTTAACAGAGTAATAAAACAATAATAATAAAACACCAAAAATCATCAAAACGTTTATAAAGCTTTTTCTAACCCATATATTTCACAATGACAAAAACAGTGATTCCTTGCTGTACAACTGCTGTTAAGATAACATGAGGAAGATATAAGTTGATTATACTGTAAGCTTTTGCATGCTGACAAGAGCTTTATCAGCACCCTCAGAGGGTAATATAATATTATACTAGATAGTGTGATATGCAGACGATTTAAATAGGGCACAGAAATTGGTGTGAGGAGTCCCAGACTTTATTTCTAACATACACGAGTCAGTTTTTAATTAACAAGATTCTCAGGAAATCCATAGTTTATTAGGCTTAAATCTTCTGATCTCTTTGATTTGATTTGGATTACAGGAGGAAGAACAGAGAATCACCGAGCTTCAAAGCAAGGCATGTGCCCACAAGCCCAATTATTCTATCTTGAACAAACTCAAGCAAGAGATGTTAAAACTAAAAGCTCGTAGGGTACGTCTAAATTTTTCTTGTACGACGTGAAACTATTATGTTACAGTAAACGTAACACATTTTTGAAGTAAAAAAAATTACTTACAGCAGCGAAATCTTACTGAATTTACGGGCTAATTTTTGTACATTATTTCTTGTGCTGATATTGTTGAATTTATTTAAATTAAATTAAATAATGATTGAAAACATTCAAAATGGACGTAGGAAATGAACCTCTACAAGTTTTAGAAGTTCATATTATTATTAATATACTTTTGTTTATTGATGGAAGTGTTATTTTATTTCACGATTTTATAAATCAATAGCAGCATTGTTAAAGATGCAGTGAGAGTGCCAGTAATTTATATTGAAATCCACACCTTATGGTCCAACTTCCAAAAGCTGGATATTCTTTCTCGGCTTGTTTTGATACCTTTAAGGTGATAGTTCCTAAATCTAAAGTAAGCTATGCATTACAAAAATATTGATTTGTTTTCTATGTCATCTAATGTCTGATGTTAAATTTAGAATGTAAAACACCCTGTTAGGTTAACAATAGCTTCAAGATCTTTCCATGGACACGTAAGTGGTTTATTCTCTTTTAAGTAACAGTAGTGTATGTATGATGTAAATAGTACAGATATTGAGGTGATATATTTACAAGCCTGTGTTAAAATGGTAATTTCTTTTATTATATTGCTTGTTTGTTTGTAGTTAGGCACAGAGCCACACTAAGGGCTATCTGTGCTCTGCCCACCACGGGTTTCTAGCACTGTAAGTCTGCGGAGGTACCACTGGGAGACTTTATCTATTGCAATCCACCATCAAATTATTTGTTATGTACGTAAATGAAACTAAAGATTAATCGGAGAATCGTCACTCTTTCTTTACAGGAAGCTGTCAAGCCTATTGGGAAGTTTATTCCTCAGAACCTAGAAATTCTTCCATCTCCGTCAACCTCAAACTTGAACAATGTCGACCTGTAATTCAAGTTATGTGATGTAATTTCGTTCTTTTTTTTTCAACTTCTGCCTTGGGGGAAAAAAAATCGAGCTTTGAGGTACTCTGAATAATTAATGGTATATAATTGTAATGATAAATATTAATTTCCACCTTATGATGACTATCTAATGTCTACTGTGTTAGGGAATGTCGAGTGTTCTTTATTTTTGTGTGCGTATGTTTCAACATTTGAGTTGTTGAAAAAAAAATTGGTTGTATTAGAATAAAAATTTAACTAATGTGAAAGTTTGAGAATATAGGCTACGTCATATTTTACCTTCATGATAATTTTATTACTGACTTTAGTAATAATTTGACTATTAATGTATGATGAAGTAGAGAGTTATGGACTTAATCTTTTTATAATGATTTATTTCACCATATTCGTGGGTATTTATATTTACTGTAGAATCATGTTTCGCTCTTTTTGAATTAATTTTTTTTTATTATTATTGTAATGTTTTACTTTCTCTGTTTAAGGCCTAGATTTGGTCAAGTATTCAGATTAAGGCCTAGATTTGGTGATGTATTCAGATTAAGATATTACCAGATACCGGGAATAGTTGATATTACGAGAACATTATGGAAGCACCTATTGATACCAGTTATTTCTCTTCTTTCACTGTTATATTCAAAGTATTTAACAAAGAACATTAAACCTGTTGGTTAACCTTATCCTCTGCTTGGAGCAACGTCGTGTTTTCTAATGTTTTGATAAATTCCTCGAATATCTGACACATTTGTGCCAAGACTTCGAGAACTTTTATAAGTAGGTTTTTCCACTAAATGAAAAAGCATTCCTAAGACTATACGGAATCTGTAAAAATTGAGTAAGTCCAAATTTGTTTTTCCATTTTATATTTATTTCAGCCAGTGACAGTAAATGTGGAATTCTCTTTATGTGAAAAGAATATTTATCCAACGATCCTCCTGTTTAACATGAGAAACCCAACTTCGTCTGCGTTTTTTTCCCTGTAAAATATGTCCAATTTACATACCTAAAACTAGGTGTTTCGCAGAGAAAACTTGAACTGTTGGATCAGATATTTGCTAGTAACGAACTAAATAAATCTATATTATAAAACTAGTTTAGTGGCACAAACATTTTCTGATAGAGCAACCAATTTCTTTCTGGAAAAAAACCTCAACATAATCATTACTGAAACGTGCATATATTGCCTCTCTCTCGGCCAGAAACTATTTGAGAACTGGATATTTTTTTATATCTTAATAGAAAGTCCTTCCATAGGATGTTGTTAATTTGTACAGTTCTAAAAAAAACTAGTAAATGTATCTCGAAGATTGGAATTCCACAAATATTTCATATTGTTTTGTAAATGACACAGGAATGCCTGTCTTTGTGTTCCTTTTTTTTTAACGTTTTTGGTGGGTGAAAGGTTATTTTTATGCTATGCCATCTTGCTGTTATAATGAATCAGGCTATAACAAAGCACTCTATTCTGATCATTCTATCAGTTAGTTGCAGTAGGTGATGTCACGAAAGATTTGATTGTAAAAGGAACCATTTTAAAAGCATGAGAAAGTCGAGTTTTATGAGATGTTGGATATTTTGAAATGTTATTTGCTTCGCACTTTGATTAATTTGGATTTCAGAATCTTCTTCAATCTCTCAAAGCAAATATAACTTAGTGATGATAGATTCTAAACTTCATGAAGAACTACGATTTCAATTTTACTGTTGTTAAACTTTTCAGCCACATGTCTTTTGTAAGGTTTAATTGTGAAGCCTTGTAAGTAATTTCATCTTGTAATAGTGTAAATATTTTTATTTGGTTAAAACTTTCACTGATATATTTGAGAAGTAAGAATACTTATTTAGTAAAATGTTTCTAATCAAATTTATTAATGACTGTTGAAATTACAAAAACGTTTCTTAACTATTTTTTTTTTTATTCGTTTAATATACTACGATAACTCGGTAATTTTTCTGTTATTGGAGAATGCTTAAATTCAATCATGGAGTTTTATAATTGATTAGTGAAGGTTATATTCAATCATGAGGTTATTATTATCTTACTTAGTGTCAATTTTTTTTATTACTTTTTAAATTTCTTTATTCAGAATGGTTGTCCACAGTCTGAATCAAATGAAAAAAAAATCTGGCAAGAATTAATTTTTTGGTTTTATTTTTGATGTACTAGTTTAATAAATCAGTCGTGACTCGAAGAAAAATAATTATTGTTTGATAACATATAAAATATTTTAAAGAGTTTTGTTCAAAAATTAAGTTATGTATAATCTTTGGCTGAGTTTCTGTGCTAAAATTAAACTTAGTATTTTAAAGACTTATTTTGTATTTATTTATTTTTCTTGCTACATTAAAATTACTTTCAGTGTCAACTTTTTATACATTTATTACCTCCAAAAACACCCTACAAATGAAACGTTTTTAAAAGTCGACCAAATTATATCAGAGAAAGATTTTGACCTACACCGGAAGGGAACGCTACGCATCTTATCTTTACGACGAACCTAACCCTAAAAAGTTGAAAATACGTATATCGGTAATAAGAAATCAACCACAGATAACAGATTCACGTTGCCCTTAACTCAATAAATTCAACCTTTATGAAATAAATACACCATCTAACGAGCTATATATTATTATATTTTTTCAATGAACATTGGTATTGTTTGTAAAATCTAGTATATTTCATTTCTCCATTTCAGATTCAAAATCATAGGCGTATACATACCGTATTTTAGCTTTAAATTTTGTTCCCCACAAGAAATTGCCCAAGAGACTTTTCATTTAATACCATAGCCTTTTTTTTTTATGCACCTCTGAGGCTCTGATTTTGAATCCGAAAAGGAAAAAGATTAACGAAAAAAAAACACTACAGTTTACGTGATTTTTACCGCAACTTTTAGGCCTACTTCATTCTAATACTTCGCCAGCTTTTGACATTAAACCGTATACTGGAACATGTTTTTAAAAATAATTTTCTTTCCACCAATGAAAAAAGTATTCAGTTAACTGGTTACGAGATGTAGGCCTATGGCAGTAACTGATCGTTTTTTTTTTGTTTTTTTTGTTTGATTAAATCTTATTTGTGAATGTTTTTAGGGTTATAAACTTTACATATAAAAAGTTGTTCGAGTAAATTATTATATTTCATGCGGATTCCGTCTCTTAACTAAGTTAATATTATATATTTTAAAATATCAAACATCCCGTCATCAGGCCAAATTTAATTATACAACTTACAATTAACATAGACGTTCACCTGAAGGAAGGAACTTTCTCAAATCGAAACCAAAACCCAATCCGGCAGTAAGTACAGCTATTCAAATATACTCTTATTTCGCTTGTAAGTATAAAGATGACAGATAATGCATTGTTCTGTCAGTTAGATAACTTGGTGTTTTATTTTCGGTGTAGTTCTAGTTTAGACTTTTCTACTTACAGCAGCTCCATCTGGGATTCATCTTATATAAAATTTAAAGTTAATTGCTTACATTTATGCATTCTGTAAAATGAAAAAATATGCTGTCACTGTTGTGGTAAATCTCTAATACCTGTGGTTAGGGCGCTCGACTCGCAATCTGAGGGTCGCGAGTTCGAATCCCCGTCCCATCAAACATGCTCGCCATTTCAGCCGTGGGGACGTTATAATGTTACGGGCAATCACACTATTCGTTGGTAAAAGAGTTGGCGATGGGTGGTGATGACTAGCTGCCTTCCCTCTAGTCTTACACTGCTAAATTAGGGACAGCCCTCGTGTAGCTTTGCGCGAAATTCAAAACAAACTTATACCTGTGGTCCCCCCCGATTGGGACTGTGGTAAATTGACGGACTTGTAACGCTATAATCTGGGGTTCGATTCCTGCGGTGGATACGGCAGATGGCCCTAAGTGGCTTTGTTCTAAAACCATTATCTGTTTAGATTCATGTGCTTATTGATCAAGTTTTCAAATGACTTTAAATTCGAAATGAGAGAATAGCGAAGTCTAATTGATTCGCAACCATACTTGGGCTCCAAAAACGCTTTATTATTAAAAAAAAATTGTCTCTGCACATTTCCCAAATTAAAAAAAAATATATATATTCTTTTCAGAACTTTAAGTGCCATTTTATAACCGATAAAATTAGTTGTTACAATAGGCGCCATAAAAACAATATTAAATCTATTTAAACTGGTTATTATTAACGTTTTCCAACAATAACTGGAATATATTACAAATATGCCTATTAACGTAAATATAATGGTGTATTTCTTATTGGCCAATATTTCGCTTTACAGCTTCTTCGGGAGCACTATTTATTTCAACTTGGATAGCGATCTCTCGGATAAGAAATCGCTCTTTGGGAACTGTAAAAGGAAATAAAAGAGATCATTACTTAATTTCTGTTAATTTTTATATTTAATACTTTAATTTGAGATTATACTCATACGGACTGTTGTGAAATTTTGTTACTAGACGAAAATATCTTTGACATTTTTAGCACTTGAGATTGTGCAAACGCAATTGTTGTGAAAAATTGTTACTAAATAGCGCTACAAATAAAACATCTGAAGCCGTAACTTGATAATGTGTATATAATCGGTGTTATGATTAAAATGAAATAATGTTTTGTAATTAATTCGTAATCTGGAAATTTATTTAGTAAGTGACTTAAGTCAGATCAATAATAATTCCAACCCACTTGCTTAACATGGTTCATACCATAACAGTCGTTATTGGTGAAATATATATATATATATATAGTGCCTAGACTATTACTATATTTGCATTATCCGAGCTGGTTTTTACGAGTCGTGGTATTGGTCGAAAGGCTTCGTCAGTCCTGAATATGGTAGATTTAGTGTGGTTGACCTGTGATATTTTTCTTTGCTTTCACCCATGAGTTCTCAGAATTAACTTTGATTCTTTACAAGAATAAACAAACATACTCAAAAATTCTGGTAAGATAAACTTTGGTTAGAAAATGTTTAGTTTGGAGATCGTTGCTATCTACTACATGTAACTGGATATTGGTTGGACGTAGATTAATGACTCTTTTTATAAACTGCTGTGTCATAGAAAAACCCCAAGAACACTGGTTTTTGGACCACTAGTTCACGCGATCAGTGTTTGGTTTGCGAATCCAAAAGTTCAGTAGTCCATTGTAATAATAATAAAAAAACGTGCTCCGCATTTCGGGGCCGTGGATGTGTTATAAGTGAAGCAGTCAAATCACACTTTAATCTGATAAGAATTGGTATTAGGTGCTGTTGACTAGTAGCCCATTTTTAATCTACTAGAAAAAGCACTACATATAAAGAACAAAAAAAAAGGTTTTAGTTAATTCCCGTCTGTAAAGACTTTACGTTTTTTGGATTACAACTCCAAAATTTAATACCGATATACTGTAAAAATTAACAAAAGATAATCTTATTAACGTTTAATATGACTAACTAATTTTTTTTTTTATATCTTCCAAGTTTGATCCTCCGTCAGACCTTAGAAAAGATTAAAATAGACGTTTTTTTTCTTATTTATACTTTAAACTTGCGTCAATGTGCCTTTATATATGTATCAAATGTCACTTACATATGATTGAGTAAATATAACATTCTTTTATAGTATGTTTCAATTTGTTAATTAGAGTAATTGCAACAGAAGATCAATTTAGGAGCTCAAAGTTTTGGAACGACAGAGAAATGAAAGATAGGACGAGAAAAAAAAAAACACACAAAACCTATTTTCAATTATTTCACTGCATGAAAAGTATACTATTTCAGTTTGTTACAAACTTATATCTATTAGTTGTAAATTAAACCCTATCGCCTAATCTGGTTATTCTACAAAAACACAAAATGAGAATTTTCTTTCTAAACGCTACCACATAAAAATAAGGCTTCTTAAAAGTATTAGGTCGTCAAAAAATATCAAAACAAGACATTTATTAAATGAAATAGTCTCCATTTTTATTGATGATGCTTTTCCATATTACAATCAGGTTATTAATGCCCTGATTAAAGAAATCACTTGGCTTTGAAGCCTAAAACATGTCGATGTCCTCTAACACCTTCCATATTTGCATACGTTTTCCAATTAAGATCGTGTTGGAGCAAACGAAAAATATTGTAATCTGATTGTGCCATATCTGGAGAATATGGTGGGTGGGGGAGAACTTCCCAACCCAAC